GATACTGGTATCGGTATCGGTGCAACACTACTTAGAACCATGCAAATTGAACCAGAAGAACAGGTCCAGGGCTTAGTAATAGGGAGTCGTTGAGGTCTTTGTTAGCCTGCAATACCCGATACTGGTCTATGACCCTGAAAAGGGGGTCTTCAGGGGGATTGTTGGTCTGGCTGACCAGGCGAGATGTCTTGGTCCCCTGCATGGGGGTGAGGATTATGATAGTGGGAAGGAATCAACTCTATCGCTGCATTGTAGGTTTTTGTGAGCTGAAACCTGAGTCCACCCCCTTTGTTTAAAGTTGTTTTTTCTCTCTCAACATAAATGGCTTCCTTCACCCATTTCAATCCTCCTTTTCATCCGGTTCAATTTGAATGTTTTCTAAGCCCAAACAAGGCTTTGTTGGGCTACTGTATAAAACCTAGAACTCAACGCTGTTTCTGACATCTTAAGTTGAAAAAGCTTCCTGGATGGGAAGCGAAACGTCTTTAAACTTAGAAACAAAGTCCAGTGGATTGTTTTTTAACTATTTTGGAATAACTATGACCTGGATGATTGAGAATCCATGAATATGTTTTGAAAAAATACTGATTTAACAGTAATTTTCTTTATCATTTACTAAACTAACAAGTTTTAGGGAATTTCTAATATCTAATCTATGACATTGTTTTAGGTTTAAAGATGAAGCAACATTTTTCTTTAGTGAGCCGAACCGGGAAGGAGGAGGAAACGTTGTTTCTAAAGGGAGGGAGGTCATTTATTTTCAGAACTCAAAACCAAATTTACACAATAACTACTTCCCTGTTCAATTAATACAAAAACTGAAAACACTGAAACTGAAACAAACAAGGCTGGTGAAGAACCTGTATTTGTTGCAGCCATCCACAGTAAGGGGGATGCTGATGGAGCCAAAAATATTAAAAAATTAAATCTGTTTCAAATAGTTTTTACACAGCATCACTAGACATGCAAATAAAACAAGCATAAAAAAACATTTCAATGCATAAAGAAAAATGGATACATGTTTATATCCAATGTTTGATTGATAAAATAAAAAAATGCAAATACATTTTATTTATCATACTTTTTTAAATATAGAACTTAAAGGAAAATTCCGGTTTTTAACACTTTTAGCCCATTTTCTGTAGTGTCCAGGATGAAATCGAATGATCGACACCAACATTTTGACGATTGGTCCTGTCTCTGCTTTTTGGCTCATGCAGAATCCCCCCTGGCCGCTTCAGAATGGCTTCCATAGTGCATATCCGATAATGTCCTTAAAAAAACAACCTTAAACGTTCTTTT